AGATTTAAGGAACTGGGCCTGTTTTCCCCACAACACTACAGATGTTGGCTGTGAGGGGAAATAGCAGGAAGGAGCAGCCCAGCTCTGGTGCCAACCGTGCTGCCCGACACACATCGCATATGAACAGTAATACCAGCAACAGTGCTCATAGCAGTTACTTGGTGTTGCATGTGCCTCTATGCTAGGCATCCTAAATATATCATCACTGCTCCTTACAACAGCCCTCACTGACATTTATTATTCCCAGTTTGGAGATGAGGGGAGCTCTGAGCCTACTTTCCTACAAAAGTATGACTTGCTCGAAGTTAATGGCATCTGCTTGCATGGGAAGGACTTAACAGCTAAAGTCCTCACAGGCTCCTGGGGACAGCACGCATGGCCCCTGCAATATTACTCACTCTGTTAATAATAGTGAGAAAAGCTTTGCCAGAGTGGATAAAAGTGATTTTCCCCATTCCAGGCATGTCACTTCTTAGTTTAGTGGCTTGATTAACATGATTTCATTGATAAGAATAGACTTGGTTACTCCCCCTTGTCCATCCCTGGCCTTGTCTCTGCTGCACTTGGAGCATCAGTGAATGTAAGAGGTGATAAAGAGGAGTAGCCATTCATACATATGAAAGTGAATGAGAAATAAACATAGACATTGACCACATTCTAGAAAGGCCACCTTGGTAATAAGCAGAGAGGAGAAAGCAACCATTTCAAACCTTCCCAGGCTCCTCAGGGCCAAAGGCCAGGCCTTCCCACTCTCTTTCTGTACATGAATGAGTGTCCCTCACAAAATGCTGGCTCTCTTGTTGTTGTTTTTGGAAAACAAATGCTTCCTTCCAAGGTTCCCCCTCCCAATTAATATCTGTGCTCAGGACTCCGAGTCCCTGGACACATTACTATGGATTTATCCAGGTTTGAGGTCTCGATTTCGTGATTTCCTCCCCATCTTCCTGGTCTCTCCAGAGCCCACTGAATTATGACACAAACTTCCACTGGCCTGGAGGATGCTTAGATAATCCCATACCATGCCTCAGCCTTCTTCCATGTTTCCCTTGCTGCCAGGATGTGGCTCTCTGCAAATGTAGTTTAATCTCATGCAGTCACTTCCCAGACCCATTTAAAAATGAGAAGAGTGCCACTGGACCCAACACTGACCCCTCCCCCCCCCCAGACTTCCCTCTCTGATCCTCCCTTCCATGTTCATTTCTCATCACAGGAACTAGGTTTAATCCCCATCCCCAACCCCACCCCTGGTATCAGATCTCAGTTTAACTTTTAAAAACATATGCATCCTCTCCAGCATACCAAGTTATGTTCCAGTCTCCTAGTTATGACACCCCCTGTAAGGTCAACAATAAGCAATTTCATTGCTATGAATACAAAGATCAGGGTCATGTGACTGAACCCATAGAAGGATGCCAGAACAGTTCACCTGTGTCACATCTTGGGCCCAGAAACTGTGGGAAAAGTTCTTTCTCTTATACCTGGAGCCTTGTAGAAGCCACCATCTGGCTTTATTCTCCTGACTCCCTGGTTCACCATGTTTCCATGCAGAATCTCTCCTGTTCTGAGTCGCTGTTTGACACACCATCTAACTAGTGTTTTGATACTGGGCATGTGCATTCTTCCTGTTATGTCTTTGACTATAAGCTCTCTAAATACATAGATTATTTCTGTGCCTTTCAGGCACTCTCCAAAGACTCTCCTACTGTGGAAGTTTGATCAGTGTTGGCTGCCTATTGGGTCAGGAGGGACATTGATTGGAGGACTATGAATTGAGAATATAATTAAAAAGACTTGAGAACACAGACACAATAACAAATTCCTGTATTCCCATAGCACTGGTTAAGAATTAGATTCTTACAATTGCTTCCTAAGAAAAAATAGGGTAGATATTATAATTCCCATATCACATGTGAAGAAACTGAGGCTCTGAAAGATGAAGTGACATCCCCAAATCACATAGCAAATAAGTGCAGAACCAAGGCTAAACGTCTGGTCTTCTGAGGATTGTCTAGTGCAGTGTCTCCCAAAATTAAAAGGAAGAAGGGGTGGGAAATAGCCAAAGTGCTCGTCAATGCATGAATGGCTAAAGAAGATGTGGTGTATATTCACAATGGAATAGTATTCAGCCATGAGAAGGAAGGACATCCTGCCTTTTGCAACAACAGGGATGAAACTTGAAGACACTATGCTAAGTGAGATAAGTCAGAGTAAGAAAAATACTAGTACATAGAGTCTAAAAATCTAAACTTTTATGGAAACAAAAGTGTGAGTTGTTGGTTACCAGGAAATAGAGGGAAGGGAATAGGTCAGATGTATTAATAGTTCAGATCTGATTCACAGTAGAATATGGACAACAATATTATATTACAATCACCAAACTTGCTAAGAGACTAGAACTTAATTATTCTAACCACTAAAAAGAAAGAAAAATTATATGTTAGGAGAAAGTTGCTAATTATTGCTATAATGGCATTCATATTACAATAGATAAATGTATCAAATTAACATTTTGTACAACTTAAAGTTACACCAGGTTATATGTTAAACATATTTTTAAATTATGAAAAATAAATGCAAAAATAAAAAAGGAGGGAAACTCAGAGATGGCTATAATATGTCCTTGTCCTAATTATCCTTTCTACAAATTCAAGTGCAAGTACCACCTAAACTATAGATGGGAAGTTTCAATAGGATAAATGTTTGGGGCATATAAACTCTGAAGGCAGATATGCTCTCAAAGGTATGAGCTTGTAAAAGGACAAGCAGAGACCAGAGGGATCAGAGACTGGCACTACTTGGGAACTGAGTCTGGGAATGAGTAAAAAAAGAAAGTGGTAGAAAAATGAGAGGTGTGATAGGGTGTTCAAAGAACAGAGAGGGAGGCTGGGAGAAGGCATCAAATGAGAGAAGTTGGACAGAAAAGAAGGAAAGGAAAAAACATGGGAGTAAAAGAAAGATGGGAAGGAGAGCAAAGAAGAAAGAGAAGTAAAGAGGAAAAAAAATCTAAGGATATACACTTTTTCTATATCTCTAGGTTTCCTGCTAAAAGGATCATTCTGGGGACAGAAGCAGTAGCACGGGCATTAGTTTTGCTCACCTTCTTTCCATGGATCAGCCAGCAAAGATAAAAACATAGGAAGCAAGATACAAATAGAATGAGATTAACAGAACATTATTCAGATAAATCAGAGAAAGGAAAAGGAAAATATATATTGAAGTTAGAAGAAAGAGAAGGCCAATGGGTTGGCCACTTTAGGACACCATCAGAGGTAAGCAGAAGCCTCTATCTAAGGCTCAGGCTTAGGTCATGTTGCCAGCAGACTCGAAGAACATCAGTGGAGGAGATCTAGAACAAAGATGACATATCCCATTTGAAGATAGCATAAAAGGAGTGAAAGGTTTAAAACTGAGAGACAAAGAATGTAGTAGTACAATTAAGGGGGGGGAGGGGGAGATCACAGTTGTGGTCCTTATGAAACCAAGACTTTATGGCATGTGACCCCAAAACATTGACCTTTTATTAGCAGAAGTTTGCAGCTAATATTCATGTCTATCTTTGTTCCTTGTTTAATAGTCATGTGTCCACTATGGAGGTATTATCCATCTTAATAAATCTGTAAAAACAGAACCCCCGGACTTTATCCTTCTTGAGTAGGGGACTCATAATGGCATCCACATGATGGTACTTGATGAGTTATATTTTTTTCCTTTTGTTTTCTTTTATGTGTGTGTTTTTATAAGTGATTTTTTTTTTACTGGAATGGTAAATCTGTTTGGTTGTGAAGATGTAAACATTTCCAATAATGCTAATCAGAATGGTGCTATGGACTATAAGGATGCTAATGATAGTGGAGATGGTGATACAGGTAGGTGATTCAGTGGTATGGAAGGCAACAAATATTGGGAGGGTGGGGATTATGGTAGTTAAAATGATGAAAATAATCTTTGCAAAGCTTGGTCACCACTTGTGAAATGACTGTGTGTGTGTGTGTGTGTGTGTGTGTGTGTGTGTGTGTGGCAAAGTTACAGAGACAGAGACAGAGAAACAGAGACAGATAGAGATAGATTACCCATAGATCACTCATGGTTAAACAAATTATCATCTTCCCCAGGACCCTTACTAGAGCCATCTCAAATGGTCAAAACCAATAACCACCCATTTCACCTAAAATGCCTAATTAAAAAAAAAAAAAAGGAATGGTGAATCTGTGGCCAGGTTTCCTTTCTTTTTGGAGGTATGAGGTTTTTGTTTTACAAGAAGACTGTCACCTAGGAATTCCATAAGAATGTTTTTAAATTATACATAGAAAATATCAGCTAAAGGGGGCCTTAAAAATCATCTAAACGGTGTGGCTCTCAACCCAGATACGGATGACAACCTCCTGGGGATATTTTTCATAATACTGATGCCAGAACCTCATTTCACACCAACCAACAAAATCAAAATCACAAGGTGAAACATTGGTATGAACACTTTGAAAGTATTCCCAAATAATTTTGACCAACTCTTCCAATGAGGAATCTTCTATTTTACAGAAGAGATGAGCCAAGCCCACCACACACAATACTTAGTGGCAGAGTTACAACCAGAATATTCATAGCGCATTTGGTGCAATTTTCCCTGCATGCTGCTGACCCAATCATTATGGGTTGCTGTCTCTTCTCATTGTTACATTCACTCAAAAAAAAAAAAAAATGCTTGCCTGTGTTGGGACCCCAAGAGGAAGAAAGAAGAAATCAAGAAGCTAGGTCAGGGAATGTCTGGCTTCTCATGGAGCCCATTTCAGGTGGAGTTCTGAAGTGAAAGGATCTTCAAACCTACCCCCTCTCCTTCCCCAAACTCCTTCCCTGTCCCACCCACATCATTTCCCATACTTAGGTTCCTTGGGGACGTAAGTGTGATTTCACCTCCACAATATCCCACATGACCCTGTTCCCCAGTTATTCACATTCATCCAGCCTTCAGGGGGCCCTTAAACCCAGAAGAAACATGTTCATACTTTCTTGGTGGGAACTTTGATCTTCAAGAATTCTGCTTCTCTGGCCAGCACCTGCCACGGGGCATGTATCCGGACAAAGATGGATCCTTGGCTTTTATTCTGTAAGATACAATGAAAGAAGAAATAGAAACACTTATAAGGACATAGCTTAAATTTCTGGTTCCCCAAAGTAGAAGCCACAACCTGGTGTTTCTTCAGTTTCTTGTTTTTGTATTTTTTAAACTTCACCAGGGACTAGTCTCCTCCTACCCATACCATTCTGTTTCAGAAAAGTTCTCATCAAAGCCCATAGGGCAGTATTAGTGTGGTCCTTAAAGTTTGGTGGCTTCAGGGGGAAAGAAAAGTTAAAACCATTGTGGGCAGAGATTTGAAATGTAATCAATTATGATTTTCATAAAAATTCTGTTAATTCTCAATAGTAGTTATGTGGTTTACTTCTGCCAGTATTTGGTGAATAGCCTGCAATTTGTCTACATGTACCTATTTTCATTGTTAGTTGTTAAGTTTGTATTTTTGTTCTACTATTGTCACAGCCCCAAATCACAAAAGGGATTCACCCATGCCAAATAGTAATCATATAAATAATAAATAATGACCAGGGCTCGTATGAATGTACGTTCCAGGTCAAGTGATTCTGTGAGTATATTGATTTCACCCAAAAAATGAAGATGAAAGAAAATGCAGTGATGAGTGTTTGAAAATTAGGTCTTGATGACTCTGGCCCTCGTCACAGTGTCTGTTATAAAACCTGGTCAGATTATGACAAGAAGCATCAGTTTCTACTTATCTTCAAATAAAACCTCAAATGTTTTCAGAACAAGCACACACTGGGGAAAAAACTTTTTATGACATAAATTTAATTAATTTTGTCACCAAAAAAATGAAAGAGACCAGAACAAGTAGGAAATAGGCAAAAGCCCCACCATTTATGAAAAGCATCTAAAACTACCTACAAAATTAATCACTATGTCCACAGAGAAAGTAGAACAAAAATGATAGCAAAATTCCTTCATCAAATGACTGTTGGAAACCACCTAAAACCTGTGCACCATAGAGGGGAGATCCTGGTGTGCTGGCCAACATGCCATTCAGATACAGCCTCTGAGGGGCAGAGTGGGGACTGAGGAACTAACAAGCATGCTCTACAGAGACACCTACTTGAAGCATCTTGTTCCATTTATCCCCTGAAAACCCATGCTCTAGGAGAAAGGAGGCTTTATTAAATTACTGTGTGTCTTGTGAAGCAGGATGCATGGAGACCAGTACTGAAGAGGCACCGCTCCATGTGCAGCAAAGATGTTGTTGCTCGCAGAAAAGTAGCTATCCCTTTAGAAAACTATCCCCCAACTTCATTCACAGAGGCCAGTTGGTGGTCAACAACTTGTCCTCTTGTCTTGGTTTAGTGGTTGAAGATAGTAGCCTCTGACCCTGCCCTTCCAGTGTGCTAGGCAGAGGAATAGTGACAAGAACACTGTTCTCCCCACTGAAAGACATTGACTATGATGGGGTTTGCATCTGAAATGATAAATACAATAAGGTACGTTATGATGCTCATAATGCAAATTAAGACTATGTCTTTGACTTTAAATGGTGGCTCTGACATATATTCAGTAATTCAAACATCCAGAACCTATCCCCACTTTGTGAACAAAAGCTGGTGATTTATAAGGGAGAAGAATAAAAAAGAAACCAAGATTTTGCAAGAATATTGAACTATGCAATAAAAGTCTGGGATAGTCCAGAGTCCAAAATACCTGAAAAGAATCACAGTAATTGTGATGCTTATTTACTGAGTGTATGTCACATGTCAGACAGAATTAGGTAATTATGTGCTTCAGCTCACAGAATGTTTACAGTCCTAAGACGAAATACTCAGCCTCTCAGCCAAGTGGACACAGTTATGACAGAACACTGGACATGGCCTTCAGTTAGAAATTTCCCCAATTTGTATGTCCATATATGATTACAATATTCATAACAACTGGACAGAGTTTTCAATCACTTGTTGCTACTTCTAATAGCAACGTAAGCTTTTCTAATTTAGTGAAAATAAAAATAAGAAAGGAAACAATCTGTGAAGTTGGTCTACAACCTAGCTCTCCATTATGGGGACATTAGTTGCCTCTAGCAAAGCATTCTTCCTCTCCAGTCTCCTCAAAAGGAACTTGTTTCAAGTAAAAATAAAAGCTAGAATGCAATTTTGTGGTGCTAACATGTAGTCATCATGTTCCTTTTATGCCATTCCATATTGTTACCTTCTCATAAAGAGAAAAACATGAGAGCTGATGTGAAATATTAGCTGGTGTGACTGGCTATGTCTCCTGAAGAAAAACAAAACCCCTGAGCAGAACTTCCTCTCCATTCTTCTAAAATGCAACTTGTTTCAAGTGAAAATGAAAGCTAGAATGCAATTATGTGATGCTAACATCTAGTCATCATGCTCCTTTTATGTCATGCATTATTATTACCTTCTCATAAAATGAAAAACATGAGACCTGATGTGAAATATTAGCTGGTGTGACTGGCTGTCTCCTGAAGAAAAACAAAACAAAAACCCCTGAGCAGAACCATCATCCAATGTGGAAGCCCTTTTACTAAAATTGCAGGTTAATGTAGATTAAGCCAAAAGAAAGAGAAGGAGGAGGAGGAGGAGGAGGAGAATGGGGAAGGGGGAGTGGTGGAACAGTGTAGGGGGGTAGGAAGAGGAGGAGGAGGAGGGAGACGAAGAAGAAAACAAAGGAGGAGGAAGAGGAGGAGAAGGAGGAGGAGGAGGAGGAGGAGGAGGAGGAGGAGGAGGAGGAGGAGGAGGAGGAAGGAAAGGGGAGGGGAGGAAGGGAAGTAGGGGAGGGAAGAGAGGGAGGGAGGGAGGGAGGAAGGGAAATTAGTTCTTTGTTCTATAGGCCCAACAGACTTCCATTCTGCCCTGTATTTGGATTCTTTGAGGAACCCGGAGGGGAGGGTGGGTGCGAGTTGGAAAGAGTCTGGGCTTCAGATTCAGAGTAAGATTTGCATCCTGGATTTTATAGCTCTGAGACATTGGGCAAGTCACTTACCCAAATAGGCCTCAGTTTCTTAATTGGAATAAGGAGAAATATTTCAGGACTGTTGTGAAAACTGGAGATAAAGTATTGAAGTCTATGTTATACAGCATGGAATGTGGATTGTTTAATAGATGTCAGACATTACTGACTAAAATGACTGTTTCTTGCAGGGACATTATTTGAGATTTCTAACACAGTAGGTTATCATTGAATTTCTGTGATTTACAGAAAAGACTTAGAGAAAAACAGTTCCTGTTAGACTAAAATTATGGATAAGTAATCCTGGTTTATTCCCTTGAACTTTTTTCTATTTTGGTTTGTTTTAGGGGGTTGTTGTTTTTTGTTTTCCCAATTTTTAAGTATAATTCATATACAATATTAGTTTCATGTGTACAATATAGTGATTTGACATTTATATACCTTAAAATGTGATCACCATACCAATTCTAGTAATTATCTGTCAACCTGCAAACTTATCACAATATTATTAACTATATTCCCCTTCACCTTTTTCATACATCCCTTCACACTGTTTTCAAAACGTCTCAAGGACCCTTAAAAAATTCATAAGTTTTCCTGGCCAGTGTGTCTCAGTGGTTGAGCATCAACCTATGAACCAGGAGAACCATCAGAACACATGCCAGGGTTGTAGGCTTGATCACCAATAGTGGGCATGCAATCAATAATCCTCTATCACTGATATTTCTACCTATCTCTCCCTCTCCCTTCCTCTCTGAAATCAATAAAAAATATATTTTTTAGCCGGGACCGGTTTGGCTCAATGGATAGAGCGTCGGCTTGGGGACTGAAGGGTCCCCGGTTCGATTAAAGTCAAGGGCATGTACCTTGGTTGCGGGCATATCCCCAGTAGGGGGTGTGCAAGAGGCAGCTGATCGATGACTCTCTCTCATCGATGTTTCTAACTCTCTATCTCTCTCCCTTCCTCTCTGTACAAAATCAATAAAATATATATTTAAATATATATATATATATTTTTAAAATATATCTTCAAAATTTGAGGACTAAATCAGAAAACATTATTTCCTGAACCCAATACAAATTTAATTTAAATTTAAGAGGTTAGCCATCCGAGTATATAATCCATCCCTAAAAGAGATTTTATAAATAAGTAATAAATGTGATTGTGTGGTAGGATATCTAGGCTGTAATCGATAGGGGGCTACAAGGGCTATAATGGAGCTAGTGTCACCAGCCCCCAATGGATTTGTGATTTACAACTGGCAAAAGACCAGCTCAATCCAACATGGCAACTAATTTTACCTGGCAGTAACCCCTAGCCTCATTACACATTCACTGTAATACATTACCATACTAAACAATACACCCCACACCACCATGATTAGAAAAAGAAAGTCTATATTAGGACACAACATGGCCAACAGGGCTCTTCCAAAAAGTCTCCATGACTTTCCTGGGGAAATCCTGAATATTCCCTTTCCCTTACTGAATGCTCTACCCCTTGATTAAATGAGCCTCAATAAAAGAAGCAAATCCCATTAGAGAGTAGCCATTCTCTACATCACTGCTTCATTAATAAACCATCTTTCACTTTAAACTCTATGCTGACTTGAATTTGAATTCTTTCCTATGCAAAGCCAAGAACCCTCCATGGATTATGGACTTTCAGGTCCCCAAATCCCAGAATAAATGCATCATCTGGAGGGGCTCCAAAATCCCATCAGGCAACTAAAATTTAAGTCAATGTAAAAAAAGTCGTAACATATAATTTTGTTCTGGTCATAAGAAAGAGGAGAACCAGTGCACAGATATTTCTCTGGTAAAGCCGGAGTACGTCCATCTGAGGGTGCATCTATTTCAATGGCAAGTAATGTGAGTTCTATGAAAGGGCAGGAAAACTTATCCAGCTCCATTGAAATGCCCCACAAACACTATACAACTTCTTTCAGTGTTATTTCATTTTATAAAACCTTATAAAGTCTGTTTCTCCAATTTCCAGGTATCAGGAAGAAGGTACCCAAGAACAGAATATAAGTATTCTAGTCAAAGGAAACGAATAATCCTCAATCATAACCTGAG